TCGTTCCTCCTTTACCAAGCTGTTGACTGTTTTTTTTCATGATTTTCTTGCATCACTCTTATTTCTCTTCCCAGTTTTTCCTCTACCTCTCTTATTTAATTTAAAAATCCTTTTTAAGCTCCTTCATGGCCTGAAATAAATTCATATTTTTCTTTGAGGCTTTGGATGCAGGAATTTTGACTTTGTTTTCTTCTTCTCAGTGTGTGTTTTGATTTTCCTTGTCACCATAGTAACCTTCTTTGGTCAGAATTTTTTTCCTGTTTCCTCATTTTCCAGCCTATTTCTTAACTTTTAACTCTATGCTAAAGTGGGCCTCTGCTTCCAAAGTGGAGGAGGTACTGTCCTAAGCTTCAGGTTTTTTGTGCAGCTGTTTTCAGAGATAATACTGGGGATCTATAAGTTTTTGGCTCTTCCAAGGTGCTATGATCTAGGGAGAGGTGTTTTTACTGTTCTCCTGTACTGTGTACTGGTTTGTGAGTGACCAAAAGCAATGTTTCAACCCTGGAACTGTGACCAAGGTCCCTTAGACCCAGGACTGTGACCCAGATCGAAGTGTAGGCAATGTAACAGAATCCTGCCCCTGGTGCCAGCACAGGGCACACTGTAAATATTCTGACCCATTGTCTGATTTCCTTAATATCTGCAGGCTGAGTGGTCTGTAAGCTGTCCGTGCTGCCACTGATTCAGTCACCCCGAGGCCTGCTCCTGGCTCTGTACTGGCTGGTGCAATTGGACTTCTCTCTCACCCTGGTGCAACAGCTCTTTCCTGCCAACCTTCTAAGTTATCTTGGGCTGGAAGGTTGTTTGACTCTGTCTTTTTGTAGGTTCTGCTGCTCTAGAATTTGTTTAGGGCCATTATTTAAAGGTATTTGGAGGGGTTTGGGGGATGCTCACTTGAGTCTCTGCTTTTAGTCCACCACCTTGGCACTGACTCTAGTGGCTTTTTTCTGTGTTGTGTCTGTCAATGAAAATCAGATGTGATCTGCATTTTAGGCACATGTATACTAGAAACATCTGAAAAATAATTAGCTTAGCTTCATTCTAAATTCATATATTTCTAATTTAGGGAAGGAAATGCCCACATACACCACCACCATCATCACCAATAATAATAACAATAGTCAACATTTATCTAGTGCTATCTAGGTTTGTAATCACTTTACAAGTATCCTCTCATTTGATCCACACAACAGCTCTGGGAGGCAGGGGCTGTTATTCTTCCCACTCTACAAATGAGGAAACTGGGGCAAGTCAGTCAATTGACTTGCCCAGGGTCACAAGCTAGTAAATGTCTGAGGCTGAATTTGAACTCTGCTCTTCCTGACTCTAAGCTCAGTGCTCTTTTTATCAGAATCATAAAGGGGCTTCTTGTTCTGATTTGGGCTTGACTGAGGTCTCTTCCAAATCTGAGGTTCTATAATTCTGCGATATTGTCATGTCTTATTATAAATCGTATTGGCAAGCATCAAAGTCCTATAATGATGCCGGTGCTCTTTCTGTCTCGGTCTCTCTCTGTCTGGGTATCTATCTCTGTGGTTTTGTATTTGCCTCTCTTTCTTAGACAGCTGGTGGCGTAGTGGTTAGAGTCCTAGGCCTGGAGTCAGAGAGGGAGATATGAGTTCAAATCTGGCCTCAGACACTTACTACCTGTGTGAACCTGGCTAAGTCACTTAACCTCTGTTGCCTCAGTTTCCGTAATAGCAAAATGGGGATAATAATAGAACCTACCTCACAGGGTTCTTATGAGAATCAAACGAAATAGTATTTGTAAAATGTACTTAGCAGAGTGCTTGGCACAGAATATGCACTAGATAAATGCTTATTTATTCTCTCTCTCTCTCTTTGTCTCCCCCTTCCTTCTCTCTTGCTTCCTCCATCCCTCCTTTCATCTTGCCTCTCTTCTCTGTCTCTCTCTTTCCCCCTCTGTCCTTTCTTTCCTCTTCTCTTCTCTTCTCTTCTCTTCTCTTCTCTTCTCTTCTCTTCTCTTCTCTTCTCTTCTCTTCTCTTCTCTTCTCTTCTCTTCTCTTCTCTTCTCTTCTCTTCTTCTCACACTCTCCCCATCTTTCTTTCTTTTTCTCTCTAAATGTATAGATGTAACATATGTGTATATGTGTGTGTGTGTGTGTGTGTGTATATATATATATATATATATGTATATATGTATGTATATAATAGAAATGTGTGTATGTATGAGTATATTCCTATCCATACGTATTTAGTCCCAGCAGTAGCACCCTCTGTGAGTTTTGGTTTCTGCTCTACAACCTCATGATCATCGCTGTCATTATCTCTTTTTTTGGTGGGGGGTTGCAGGAGGCAGAAGGGCTCTTCATCCATTTAGAATGTTCTCCTCCACCATCTGCTCTTGACATCAGCTCCTTTGGCTGTGCTGCTGCCTCGGCTGGGAGCTGGACACCCCCTCTCCCTGCCCTGGACTGCCCCCTTTCACCTGGGTTTTTTTTTAATGTGCTCAGGGATCAAATTCACGGCAAGAAAAACTTTTGAGAAAGGAGAAAAAGCATCCATGCACAAGGGGAAGAAATCCGCCTTATGTCTCCCTCGCCCCCTTTGCAGATTAATCTGTTATCCTATGAATTGAATTGGCAACAGTCTGGTCCTGTGAGTCCCCTCCTCTTACCCCTTCTGGAAATGCCATTTGTTGGCTGAATGATGAAGTGAAATGCATGGCCATCCATCACCTGGGCTTGACAGATCCCCCAAGACGGTGGAATTTTGGTAAGGGAGCCCTTACACAATGACCCAGCCTGGATGCAGCCAGCCCTGGAGGTCAGCTGAGGACCTTGGCAGTCGCAAGGCCATGTAGGAAATAGCCATCCACGCATGGCTCCTCCTGCCTGGTGGGGGATTTGGAGCTCACCTTCCCAGAAGTTAGTACTCAGGAAAGACAGGGGTGTGTTGGGGGAAAATGTGCAAAAAATGCTGGGGATAAAGTGCCTCATGAGCAAGGCCACAGGTTGTGGATAGAAGATTTGTGTTTTTACCCAGAAACGGAGCCTGGGCTGAGTGCCTTGTGAGAGGGAAGGCCCTCACTTACAGACAGGGCGGGTGTGGCCCTTTTCTTTCCTGTTCCTGGGAATGCATTCTTCAGGGTCTGGAGAAGCAAAAAACTACCTGGGCTCCCTAGGTGCTCATGCAAGCAGGCCACAATCTGTCAGTCCCATAGTCTGAGAGCCCAGTGGCACATCAGAGGCTGTCTGGTACACCCTGGATGGGAGAGGCATCCTCACTCTAAGACATCAGTGCAAGCCATCTCTGTCAGCCTCAGACCCTTGTGGAGTGTGTGTGTGTGTGTGTGTGTGTGTGTGTGTGTGTGTGTGTGTGTAAGCAAACAATGATGAATCGCTACATTGAGAAGGGGCAGGGAATGGCTATCATTTCCCCTGCATTTGAAGTTGGGACATTTAAAAGTTACTCCTAAATACCTTGGCTCCTGCGCAATGTCATGGCCAATAGATGACCAGTTAATAGTTAGCTAGCTATAAACCAAGGCAAGCCTGCCTGCCATACTGAATGGATTATTGGTCTTCTCTGAGCCTCAGTCTCCTCTTCTTTAAAATGGACCTCGGTTGTCCCTTCCAGCGCTGGTGCCAGGGTCCTGGATCCCGTGATATCAGGATCTTCTTAAGACTGAGAAGACTTTAGGGCCTGCCTGCTGACCGTAGGCATTTCTATTCTTGCCAAGTCCCTGGTAAGCCCTGTCCTTCTTAATTCTATGTGTTGCCTTCCAATACAAAAATCAAGTTCTTTCATCAGTTTCTAGGGGAGATCTCCCAGAGAGTATATGCTCCCTGAGGGCAGGAACCGTGTGTCTTTCCAGGGCTGCGTCCAGTGTGGGGCACACTGGTGTCCGAGGTGCACCCATGCAGGCTGACACCTTCTCTCTGACTTAGTCATGCATACGTGCATGCTTCCCTGGGCCATCCTTAGTTACCGAGGCCCCTAATGCATTCGGCTATGCCTGCAAACATTTCTCTGCTCGGTGTCTACCTGCCTCCTACTTACCTTCCTTCTACCTACTTCCCTCGCTGCCAAGTTCCAGTAGTGCAATTTCCCTTGTGGGACGATGGTCTAGAAGGAAAGGACCTGCCATAGTTCTTGGGTTGCAGCTCATCTGTGCTTTGTCACTGCAGGCCTCTAGTCCTGGCCATGTCCCTTGGGCTCGGTAAAGCTTATTTCACAGAACAGGGCAAAAGTCAAACGTGGAGATGCTAACCTGGGTCTTCTCCCAGCAGTCCAGTACTGGGGAGAGTGCTCTGCCAGCACTGGTGGCCTGAAAGCTCCAGGGGATCGGGGACGGTCTCACGTCCATCTTTGTGTCCCTGACACTGAGCTGTGCCCGGCACGCAGCAGGCACTCGAAATCACCTCCACCCTTGTCTGATCAAAGGACAAATAGCTCAGCACTCATAAAGATACTTTGTGCTCTCAAGAAGACAGGCTTTGTTGATTCATTTATTGGTAATAATCATTAATTCCGTGAGCCCTGCTTCAGAGGTCTTCTCCAACTGTCTTGCCTCTGAGACTCTGAATATCTTAGGGTTATAGATTTAGAGTGGGAAAGGACAAGACCCTCACTGTAAAGAACAGATAACAGTAGCCCTGGGACATGGCCTTGGCCAGGGTCCCACAGGGAGGTAGCAGCAGAGCTGAGTTTTCAACTGACATGAGTCCGAAGGTGATAAATGTAAATTGCTTTGTAATCCTTCAAATGCCGTGTAAATGCTAGCTATCAGCATCATCAGCATCACTCCTCCTCCTCCTTCTGTTCCTCCTCTTCCTTCTCCTTCTCCACCTCTCCCCACTCTTCCTCTCATTTTGTGTGACTCCAAGCCCAGGGTCCTTTCAATTCTTCTATTTGGAGATATTAAGTCCTTATAGCTAGAAAATAGTAAGAGACCGAGTAACTCTCATCGCTGCCTTCAAAAGAGCAGGATGAGATTGGGCCCATCCTGACTGTGTTTGCATTTTTTTTAACTCCAGGTGACTTTCTGCCCCCTCCACCTCCACCTCTGGATGACATTGGCAGTCTACCACCTGGCCCTGGCTCCTTCCCCCCACCTCCACCACTCGATGAAGGTGTTTTCAATGTGCAGGTAAGTTCTGGCTCATTGGGTCAACAAATCCTTCTCAGAAAGCACCACCATCAGCAACTGTGATTCTGGGAGGGACAAACATCAGGAAACAGGCAAAGGGAGTGTTTCAAACCCACAAACACCTCCTAGTTAACTGTAGACCTGATGCCCAACTTTCACCTCCTTCGGAGTCCCTCCTGCTGCCAGCTGTCTGTTCGCCCTGCACCCTGGCGTCCTAGGATTCCCACGTTCCATGGTTTGGTTTGGACCACGGTACTGGTTATTCAGGAAGAGTCTTTGACAAGTGTGAGATTCTCATTTTCCTAGGGCAGTGTTTAGCTGTCTGCTGTTTGTTGCTTGTTTTCTTTGCCCACAAAAGTTGCTTTTCATTTTCTGGTAAGTGGATGAGGATAATGGAGTCTGTCAGCAGAAGGGATGCTCACAGCTCGAGGCCCTGAATGCTGTCCCAGAATTTTCATCCTTCATAGTCAGTAACATCTATTCAGAAGACTTCTCTTCTGTGGGCCAGATTTAGGTAGGTAGAGGCTCACTGAGGGCTCCTCAAGTCCGAGGCACTGAAAAGAGCTGAGTCCAAAGAGCAATGTTTTCTACTGGAGGTCTTCCTTTGTTTGGTGGTATCTGCTTTGCTCTAGGCAAGGTCACCAATGGCAAGCTGAGAGTGGTAATTTCCAGAATTCATCTTTGTCAAAGGGAAGATACTGCATAGTAGAAAATAATCAATAGCGTAATGGCATCACATCCTGTCTGCCCTCTCCTTTTACATAGAAAGAAAAGTGAGCAAATTAATAAATAAACAAATGAATGAATAAATATAATTATATCTATCAGTTCAAATTTCTTCACATTTTTAATCTTTGTTCATCTTATCTATCTTTATTCACCTTTTCTCTCTCTCTGTTTCTGTCTGTCTGTCCCTCTCTCTGTCTCTCTCTCTCTCTCTCTGTCTGTTTATACTGTAACATGGTTAGGAATACAAAGAAGAGGAAATTAGTTTGATATGTGAACAGTTTTGTCTCTGTGTTCCTAGGGTCTAAGAAACAGTGGGTGCTTAATGCTTGCTCATAATTTCTATCAGATTTAATGGGGGCTACATCGGTGGGGAGATTTTTTCCCCAAAACAAAATATACATCTTTGATCCGTTGGTCACAACAACCTATTCTTGCCCCACCCCACCATCTTTATAGTCATGACTTGTAAAAGATAGCATGTGATCGAATGCTGTGTCATTTCAATCTAATTGACACAATGCTGCAATGACACATAGGACAAGAAAACATTGAAGATGGCAAACTGTGATGAATCGTTGTCTGTCACAGAGAGCACGTCATTGTACTAACTTGCCTTTTCTTGGTCAGATGTGGTGAACTTACAGGTGCAGACTATTGCTGACCCCTATAGGGATGCCATTTTGTTAGTTAGAGCTCATTTGGGCCACCCCTCTGCTCTTCAGGTGGAAGGTTGAAATATTGACTGTGATGGCAGCTCTTTCCATCTCAGACACCACTGGGCAAGCCATGGGATATTTCTGGGCTTCAGTTTCCTCATTAAAGACAGGAAGAATGGTGCCATAGATGAAATTATTCATTGACAAGCTTTTTGTTTCTAAATAAGTACTGGAAATAAAGTAGCTAGGTGCCAATAAATTAGGGACTGGCTACAGATGCATTGTGCTATATGTTTGGGATGACATCTCACCATGAAGTTAAAAAAAAGTGACAAATATATAAAATTCAGAGACCTATGGGAAGAATTCTGAACTGATGGAGAGTGAAGAATCTGTGAAACATGATGGACGGTGACACTGGTGATGGAAATAGAACATTCAAAATTGTGATGAGCAGACGTGGCCCCTGAGAAAGATGGAGGAAATCCATTGCCATCCTTTCATTGTAGAGGTGTAGGAACTGTCTGTGGGACATCCTGTTTACCCCGTCATACTGAATTGTTGTGTTGGTTAGTGCTCTTGAACCCTGCCTTCTTTCTTTTCTTCTTTCTTTTCTTCCTTCCCTTTTTCTCTTTCTTTTTCTTCATCTCCCTCCTTCCTTCCTTCCTTCCTTTTCCTTGGGCAAGGAGGTACAAAAAGATTTATTGGGAAATAAATGTTATGGAAAATCCAAAGATAGAAGAAGGAGGGCATTAAAATGAGGAGGTTGGGTTACAAATCCCCTGAAACCCCTTCCAGCTCCGGATTTATTATTCCAGTCACTCCTGCGCCACAGTGTTCTGATACCCTGGGGCCTAATGTGACCTCGCCCACCTTTGAATGTGTTTCACCTTGCAGAGGCTGGCCCTGTGGCTCCAAGACCTTTGGTCATGGAAACTTTCCCTTCCCCACCACCTCCACCAGCCAAATTAACCCAGAGTCCTTGTGGTGCTCACCTAGAACACGACCAGAATGCATGGCCTTGGAGTGGTCAGATTTCCCTACCAAGACAGATTTCCATGGAAACATACCACAGTGGTGACTAAAGTGTTGATGTCTGCCAGGTGCCTTTTTTGGGTGCCTCTGAGGCCCTGGGTCAGCAAGCCCTGGAAAGTTTGCCAGTCTATTTGAGACCATGGTAGCCACAGATTCCTTTGGGATTATTTAGTTCTTCAAACCCTCAACATGTGGGTCAGTGGCATGGCTGAGTATTTTTATTAGGCAGGCAGTAGGACTCTGTGGACCCTGCCTGCCTGTCAGAAGGCTGGTCTTGGACATGAGTCATCTGATGATAGCATCCAGGGAAAAGGAGGGAGAATTCAGGGATGCACAGATTGGTAAGAAGCAGCAGCGTTTTGTTCTGTACGGGCAGTTCTCTGGTATACCTTGAATACTTTGAAGCTGCAAGATGGCAGTCTCTCTTGGACATGTTTTTTTAATAGAACAGAGAGAGAGAGAGAGAGAGAGAGAGAGAGAGAGAGAGAGAGAGAGAGAGAGAGATGCAGACACAGACAGAGAAAAAGAGAGATGGAGATAGAGACAGAGAGAAGGCTCATCAGTTTAGATTTGGAAGAGAACTGAAAAACCATAGTCTAATCTCTTTATTTTACTTCTGTGGAAACTGAGGCCTGGAGAGGGAAAGTGAGTCACTCAAGGTTACCCACCTAATAAGTGTGATAAGAATGATTTCAACAGAGGGAGGGGGGAACGATGGGAAAGGGGGATAAGAGCAAGATCAGGGTGAAGAGGACAAGAGGAAAAGAGAGGAAGAGACATGGTTAAGGAAAAGAGAAAAGAAAGCAAGACGAAAGCAGAGGAACTATCCCGTTTCCCCCTCATCCCCAAGAGTTCTTAAACTGAGGTCCCTTCTTTGTGTTTTTCTTTCCATTCTTACATTTGGATAAATATTTCCATAAAACTGGCTTCCTTTGTAAGCTTCTGTGCTTTACTCATTATTCTGAAAAAGAGGCCTTGGACTGTGCTGGACTCAGAAAGGTTCTGTGGAACACACACACAAACACACACATGCACATGTCTACAAATACTCTCATGCACACTCACACACCCCTCAATGACCATCCCATTTCCACATCTACCAAAGAGCTTGAAAGATTCATGTGAAGGACTTCATTCATAGGGTGCTTGCAGGTGTGCAGCACCCTCAACACATCCCATATCCTCTACCTGATAATAAACCTATTATTCTCATCCCTATTTCACAGATGAGGAAATTGAGGGTCAAAGAGGTTAATGCCCACATGGCTACTAAGTGTCTGGGGGGGAATTTGAACCAAGGTCTTCCTGAATCCAAGTCCAGCCATTGAACCAGCTAAGTTTGTGTTCATTGGTTTAGCTAAAGCAAAACATGTACGATTGGGCTTCAAGCACATCTGACCATCTCAGTGTTTTAGGAGATGGCATCTCCTTCCCCTTTTGTCTTCTTGCTGCAAATTCCTGAGTGACACCATCTAGAGGGATTTTCCTTCATAAAACTGACTTTGTAGTTGTGCCTAGCACGTAATAGATGCTTAAAAAAATACTTGTAGATTGTTGATGAATTTATTTAGAGTTGTTTTTGTTCAGTTATTTCGGTCATGCCCAACTCTCCATGACCTCATTTGGAGTTTTCTTGGCAGAGATACTGGAGTGGTTTCTTATTGCCTTTTCCAGCTCATTTTGCAGATGAGGAAACTGAGGCAGACAGGGTTAAGTGACTTACCCAGAGTGACACAGCTAGTAAATATCTGAGGCCAGATTTGAACTCAGGTCTTCTGGGTCCAGCCCTGGTGCCTATCCTCTATATCACCTAGCTGCCCCTAGCTGATTTAGAGTAGCAATAGCATATTCTTTTCCAACATTTTCCAAGAGTGGTAGCTTGGTGTAATGAAAAGAGTCCTGGACTTGGAGTGATGGTGTCTCATGCTCAGGAGGTGTGTGATCTTGGCCAAGTCAGTCTCTCCTAGCCTCACTTTTGTCCTCTATACTATACATATATGTGGCCTCTGAGCCTTGATCCAGGTCCACAGCTGTGATACCTAGATCCCTTTGACTAGGAATTAGAGTTGCCTTAATGTTTACAACTTGTCTACTTTATAAGAACCATTAAATAGCTTTGATAAGCTATGGACACTTGGACTGGAGGTCTACAGGGATGGCAGCCGTGCTGCCAAAGGTGAAGGAATATTTTTCGTGTCTTAGACCCCTTGAGAAGTCTGCTAAGACCTGTGGAGCTTTTTTTTTTTAGAATAATATGTTTAAATGTATAAAACAAAATTCATACAAAAGGTATTGTGATATAATTTTTTATTTATCATTTATCTCTCTATTCATCCAGATAGAAATACCTCTATTTCTCTGTCTCCCTTCTTCTCTCTCTCTGTTTCTCCCTCTCTTTCCTTCTGTCTGTCTGTCTCTCCCTCTCTCCCTCCTCTTTCTTCCTCCTTCTCTCTCCCTCTGTCTCTGTCTCTCTCTTCATTTCTCCCTATTCCTCTCTCTCTCTTTCTCTCTTCCTTCCTCTTTCTCAGAAGGTCATGATCCCCAAGTTAAAAATCCCTGTTTTAGACAAAGCACTAGACT